TTGACTTATGTTGACCATGATTGTGGGGATGTTTTTTTGCGACTGTCACAGTGTCAATGTTCTTGTCGGACTTTTGTCTTGTCTTGCTGAGTTTCACTCTCAGGACAAGAATTACATAGAAAGGGGCACCATTCGGTAGAAATTTATGCAAAAGAAAACAAACAACCTTACAACATTTATGGTGAGCTTGACATGGGTTTTGAAGGAGTAAAGCTAATTGAGAGCACTTTTAAAGAATTTGTGGTCAGTTACGTAATAAAAAATATTCTAAAAATTCTTGAATTTTTTTTAAAAATGTTATATAAAAACTGTTCCAATCAAAAGCACTATTCTCAATGACCCATTCTTCTATAGTAAATTACTAAAGAACAAGTTTCTTTCGTGAGCTGGTGGGTTTTTATGCAGATGTTAGTTGACATAACATCAGTTACAAGTAGAGAAAGTTCTCTTAAGATTGTTGTTGAGTCAGTACATGACAGAGATGGGTTGATGTTGTTTAATCAGTGGTTCTGGAGGTATTTGGTTTTCGGAAGAACGATTTGAGATGATAAGGGTCTTAAAGTTTTTGTTGGGGTTTGCATAATATTTTGGGATGCTAGATTACCAATATCGTGGCTGGTGGCTTGTGTGCGTGTGTGTGTTTTATTATTTGTTTTTTAAATATATAATTATTAAATTCTCTTATTTTGTGGGATGAACATTAGGAATTCCTAGGATTTCGAGACTAGTCATTTGAGGTGCTCTCTGTTCCAAGTTTACTTCGCTTTCCAGTTTCTTTATTTTTCTAACTCTCCATTCATCTCATTTGTAGGGGGAGAGAAAAGTATCAACAATTCGTAATGTGTTAGCTGTTATTAAGGGGTTAGAAGAGCCCGATCGTTTTGTGCTTATGGGCAATCATAGAGATGCATGGAGTTTTGGGGCTGTGGACCCAAACAGTGGAACTGCTGCATTACTCGACATTGCACGTCGATTTGCTCTTTTGAGACGGTTGGGGTGGAGCCCTCGAAGAACAATTCTTCTTTGCAGTTGGGATGCTGAAGAATTTGGTATGGTAGGTAGTACCAAATCTCCAGGCACAATTAATGATTGGTTGTTTGTGACTTAACATGCCTTTCCTGTTATTCGTTTTCCACTCTCTCTGATGAGAGCAGGAAAGGAGAAGGTGCATCAATCATCAATTTTCTCCTCTTATATATTCTTTATTTTTCTTTACAATCATGTTTTTTATGAAAAGACTCTTTCTTAAAGGTATTTTAGGTTAGTTTGGCATTTAAGGTAAAAAACTCTTTTTTCTATGTTTCAAAGGAAATGGTTGAATACTTGATAATACTGAAGATGGTTAAAAAGGTTCCTTGCAAAACTAATTTTTCTATCAAGATGTATATTCCTTGATTTTTAGTAAAGAAAAATTGGAAAGGAATTGTGCTTGAACTGCTTAAAAACAAAAAATTTGTACCCAGTGAATTATTTTTGGAATGGTTAATTTATTGTTTGATTTGCTGACTAACTAAGTTGAAATTATTGGAAAAACTCCTTTGAAGGTTCAAAGTTGATCATAGACAGAGTCAGCCCTACATTAGTGCATTTACTTGCATAGTTATTGAGAATCAAAATTGTACGACTTTTTCTCATGTAAACAAGTTATCTTGTTATGTTATGCACTGCAATTTAGCAGCGATGTGTTGGCTTGTTCATATTTTAGTTTAAAGAATGGTATTTGAAGAAGTTTGTGCTATGTTTTACCCATGGCAAGCGGCTGCACCATCCATGGTCTCCCTTAAATGTGTGAAGAATAACTGGCTCTAGCGGGTTGTCAGCCACATTTATTTTAAAGTATGAAGAAATCTAATTTAGGACTGGTTTTTGTTGTTAGACATGCATATTAGAAACGAGAATACTGATTCTGGAAGTCCTCTTATCTCAGGAGCTTATGTAATAACTTTGTACACATTGAAATTATTTATGGTCTACTTTTTGCTGCTTACAGATAGGATCTACTGAGTGGGTTGAGCAAAACATTGTGAATCTTGGAACCAAAGCTGTGGCCTACCTTAACGTAGATTGTGCAGTTCAGGGGCCAGGATTCTTTTCTGGTGCGACTCCTCAGCTTGATGATCTCCTTCTTAAGGTTACTGCACAGGTAAAGAATTAAAGAAATAAAGAAATTGTGGTTCGGTAGCATCTGAGCATCGAAGAGTGT